ATCCAGCAAAGAAGACTGAGGAATGGCCTGAGAGGGAGGCAGACGACCTGGAACAAGTAAAAACATTTTTCAAGAAAAAAGGTAGGTGGGGGCAGGGGGTACGTAAGAAATCTCTATACCTTCCTCTCAATTTTGCTGTGAACCTGAAACGTCTCTAAAAAAAGTCAAATCTTAAAAAAAAAAAGAAGTTGAGTCTGGCAAAACTCATCTATGATGATAGAAATCAAAAGGTGTGGTACGGCACAAACTGAAAAGGGAACTTTGCGGGATGCTGAAAATGTTCTATATCTTGTATGGGGTGCTAGTCATTTGGGTATACATAACTGTCAAAACTAATGTAAATGAACACTTAGTACTCATGCATCTTACTGTATGTAAATCTACAAAGAAGAATGTGAGAAAAATCAGAGAAGACTATATGAGGAGAGTAGAAAGATCTTGAGGAGATCTGGGGGGGCGGGGCGAGAAACAAGTTAGAGAAGTAAGCAGTGGCCAAAATGATAAAAGGACTCATATAAGTATGGTAAGGACTTTAGATTTTGCCCTGAGAGCAATGGGCAGACTGAAGAATTTTAACCAAGGGAGCAACGTGATCCTATCTGCCTGTTTAAACTGATGGCTCTGGCTACAGAGCAGAGAACAGACTGTTGGAATGGGACAAGTCAGGAGCCTAGGAAATAAGAGATGACAGTGGTTCAGACTTGGAGAACAGAAGAAAGGAAGTTTCAGAATTGAGTACATTTTGTAGTTGGGGGCCCTTAAGATGGGACGGTGGATTGGATGCAGAGGGCCAGGAAAAGGAACTGTTATTCCTGAATCAGAAGACTGGAAATGTAGTACTGGTCCCTTCACAGCTGTGCAAATTCAGACAAGACACAGAAATCCTTTAGGCTTATTCCTTCAGCTCTCTGGAGAAGCAGTCCAGTCAGCAGTTAAGGATGAGGGCTCTGGAGTCTGACTGCCAGGGTCCAAAATACAGATCAGCCATTTAACAACCTTCTGAAACTGGGTGAGTTACTTAACCTCTCTGAGCCTTAAAAATCTTCATTGGCAAAATGGGGCAAAAATATTACTTGCTTCAGATGATTAAATAACATAATGCTCGTTAGGCTTGAACAGAGCTGGCACATACGTGCTCAGTAAATGCTGGTTCAATAGCTAAAAATTCAGATCAACTATACTCCAACATAAAAAAAAAAGTTAAAAATCCAGTATTGTCCAATGAAGATCAGCAGTGTATTGCAGGCACTCACAGATTGAATCTAACAGACTGATTATAATTCCTTTATTTGCCGAATAATTATTAAAGAAACAGATTTACTGATCCTGTCGGCCATTCTCCTCCTTAAACTTGTCAATGGCATCCCAGCCCTCCTTTAGATGTCTAACAAAACCTTTCATAATCAGGATCCTTATCTGTCACCCTTAAATCTCTCCTCTACTTTTCTCCACTCCGGTACTACTGGATTTGTTTTAATTCCTTAAAAACAGATGGTCTTGCCTCCAGGCTTCCAGTGTCCTGTTCCCTCTACCTGAATCTCTCCCTTGACTATTTCTCCACTTCCCATCCCATGCCAACTAAGATTTTGAGGCCCAGAGAAGTTATATGTACCTTTCCAGAAAATAAAATTACGTCAACATCTGAACTTCATTAGGCAGCTCACTGTAGGGCAGTTATCCTTAACTGCTGAGAATCTGATGAAAGCTACGGGGCTACTCCCCCCGAAAACACCTAGGCAAAATTTGGAGTAAATTTTCTCGGCGTTTAAAATACTCCTGCAGCCCAAACTTGAGTTCCCGGTGAAAAGGAAAAATAACTAGCCTGAGATTCAGACGATCTGGTTTTCCCACCACAGCCAGCTGTGGGACCTCACCAAAGTGGCCTAAGCTCCCTGGACCTCATTATCCCTTATAAGCCGTCAAAGATGCAATATGTCCCCCCAAGGTGGGAGAGAGTCAGTCCTCCCCTGATAACACACGAACACTGGAATGCGTCCAACCCGAGAGCCGTGCGCGGAGCCGCTGGGTCTGCACGGCGGCTGACATGTCTCCTCAGCTTCATCCTGCACGAACAGCAGTGGCCGGCTCTGGAGAGGACTCGCGCGGAGCCCCAAGCACGCGCGGAGTCCTGAGCATGCGCGGAAGACGCGGCCCGCCCCCCTCCGCGGCCAGAGTTCTCGGGGCAACGCCTCCCGGGGACGCATGCCAGCCTCTCTTCCGTTCTACGCGTGCCCTGCCCTCACCTCTACAGTCGGGATCGGCGCGGCCAGCTGCTCCGGGGTCAAGTTCCCAAACTCCTCCGCAAGCACGTCCATGCTGTTCACGACAAAGGAAGGAGCAAACAGAACCCTCACGCGCGCCTTCGCTGCGCCAGGCAAACTGCTGTACCCGTGGAGAGCGGTGCGCGGTGGCCTAAATAGTCCCCGCCGCGCAACTTAATCGGAGTCGCGGAAGAAAGGTTCCGCCTGCTCTCGGTCAGAACCTGGGGTTGAACCCGGATGTGGCTGAGGCGGAGCTTGGAAACTGCGTCCCCTGGTGTCGCTCGGAAGTCTCGCCTGGGTAATCTTAAACCCCAGCGGACAGATTTTGGCAGTTATCCCACAATCAAGACCAACAACGCGTATTTTAATTTTAAAAATAATTCAAAGAAAACGGTAAATGGATAATTTGCACAACTTGAGCCACCGAGGCATCGAATTCATTTAATTTAAGCCCAAACTACACATTGTATAGTATGGAAAAAATAGGAAATTTACCAAATGCCTAGTAGGAGGGGATTGGTTAAAAAATTAAGGTACATGCGTGTGATGGCCTATTATACAATCATTAAAATGACCACGAAGTGAGGAGGAGTTAACTTACCTAGAGAGAAGAGCATAACAGGACAGTAATTAAGATAGTGTTATATTCTAAAAGGGCTAGACAGAAGATCCAGGAGTAAATTCCAGCAGAAATTTAGTATGAAAAGATGACATTTTAAAAGAGCAGGGGAAAGATAGCTTATCCAAAAATTGATGTTGGAGCTGCTGATCAGCCATTTAGAAAAAAAATACATCTAAGTAAATACTATACGGATTAAATATTTAAATGTTAACAAAACCTTAGAAGAAAATATAAAGTGAGTAAATCCATAACACTGAGCTGTGGCCACCTTCAAGGATAGCAATATAGTCAGAAATCATAAAGGAAAATATTCATAGATTGGATAATATAATTCTAGCCATAGGTTTATGATTCCACGGAAAATTTAAAATTTTCTGAACAGATGGTTAAAAATCACCATGAATGGTTTTCAAGAAATACAAGTTGGGGCTTCCCTGGTGGCGCAGTGGTTGAGCGCCCGCCTGCCGATGCTAGGTAGACGCGGGTTCGTGCCCCGGTTCGGGAGGATCCCACATGCCGCAGGGCGGCTGGGCCCGTGAGCCATGGCCGCTGGGCCTGCGTGTCCGGAGCCGGTGCTCCGCAACGGGAGAGGCCACAACATTGAGAGGCCCGCGTACCGCAAAAAAAAAAAAAAAAAAATACAAGTTGGCAGAAGAGAAAGGATTGGTATCCCTAATTTAAAGTGAACTTATAGGGACTTCGCTGGTGGCGCAGTGGTTAAGAATCTGCCTGCCAGTGCACGGGACACGGGTTCGATCCCTGGTCCAGGAAGATCCCACGTGCCACGGAGCAACTAAGCCCGTGCGCCACAACTACTGAGCCTGCACTCCAGAGCCTGTGAGCCACAACTACTGAAACCCGTGCACCTAGAGCCCGTGCTCTGCAACAAGAGAAGCCACCGCAATGAGAAGCCCACGCACCGCAATGAATAGTAGTACCCACTCGCGTCAACTAGAGAAAGCCCACGCGCAGCAATGAAGACCCAACGCAGCCAAAAAATTTTTAAAAATTTAAAAAAATGATAGAGCCTGCCTTGTAGCGGGTTGTGCAGTTACATGAGATCATTTATATAAAGTGCTTAGGCCATAATATGGTAAGTAATTACTTTACTACATTCTGAAAGAAAAAAATTATATTCAGGTTCCCTACCATGCCAGCAAGTGCAGCTGCTGGGACAGATTACTAGGTTTCCTTTCTTCTTCATAAAGCCTTGCGATAAATCCCTAGGTCCCTTTCCCTTGAAAGCTGAACGAGGCTAACATACCAAGCTTAGACATGAAAAGATAAAGCTTCACTTGAAAAACAGAGAACAAGAGGGTACAAGTTGCTAGTACAAATGTACGTTCTAAAAGGTTAGATTAAATCATGGAGGATAAAGTCATACCTGATTTACTAAATGAAATTAGAGCATGTTGGGTGTGTCACTATCCTTTGAAGCTGACAGCAAGGACAATAACTGCAGCCTTCTATGTACCCTTGAGTTTCTCTGCCAATGACAATATTGGGCTTAATGAACCACGGTTGTGATATGATTTGACAATTTTTGGTCTTATGTACTTAAGTACTCAATCATCACTTCTCAAAATACTAAAACCTCTTGAAGTGTGAAAGAGATTTAGGACAAATAAATGAGCTATTGTAATGTATTCTGTCCACATTATGCTTTAGAGTTTGTAGACAATTTCAAATACATTATCTCATTTGATTCTCACAATAGCTCTGCAAGGCAGTCAGGTAGGTTAGGAAATGGATGTTCAGGGAGACTAAAAGATTGGCTTGAGGTCATATAGCTAAGAAGCAGAAGTGAATTCAAACTCGGGTCCTGTGACTCTCAGTCCCATGCTACTTTTACTGAATAATGAGTGGAAAATGTTGGTACCTAACATCATCAGAGGAAGAACAGGCTGAATTTTAGTTTTAAGAAGGATTCAAGTAAAAAAATATGTTGCACGAAAGATGGCACTCCCCACGCCCATGGCATACTTAGCCAATCAGCCACAGAATTCTTTACTGCTTGTCCCGGATTTAGCTTCAAAATCCTCCCAACACAGTGCTCTGGGAGCTAATACTAAAAGATCAGAGCAGACACATGACCTTAAACTTATTTTCATGGGACTTCCCTGGTGGTCCAGTGGTTAGGACATTGCGCTTCCAACGCAGGGGTCTTGGATTCGATCCCCGGTTGGGGAACTAAGATCCTGCATGCCGTGTGGCATGGCCAAAGTTGGGGGGGGGGGCGGAATCAGGTAATTCCTGCATGGTCTACTAGGCAATGCCCAGCACTTCATTAACGCAAGGACCCAGTAAGTTCTGTTGTTCATTAAAAAAATAAACTTATTTTCATAAAAAGATGATTCATAGAGCTTATTCAAGGAAACTGGAGGGATCTGAGGTGGAGACTGTTGCTAATGCTTACCAATACCCAACACCCACACCCGCCTTTTCTCCTGGGCACATCTTCCTGACTCCTTTGCAGTTAGATGGGGCCAGATGACCATCTAGCCATCTAGTCATCAACTAACGATCTAGTTAGTTCTGCCCAATGTACCATGAGTAGAAGTGGGTGATCCTTTTCTTCCCTTATCTTCTGAGTGATTAAGGAGACGCTGAAGGTTCCAGGGACTACTGAGTTACAAGATGGATGGAAGTTGGGTCTCTAAGTGGCTGAATGGAGTAGGGTCCGCGACACACACACCAACCTTCCCTAAACTTTGAACTACAATTTGAGAAATAAGGTTATTCTGAGGCTTTGCTCAGCAGTTCATCTACACACACCAATAAAGGTTGACTTCAATGACTATGCCCTTCCTGGAATCATCTTTTCGTGTCATTCTTAGAGGCGATACTGGATTGGGGGACGTCTTCACACATTTCTCCCATTCAAGTTTTAAAGACCTCATGAGTGCACATGGTAGTGGATTTGTTTTTCTCTTTCTGATCCTTCCTTTTTGGAAGAAATCCCTAGTTGGGTGACCTTGGTGGGAACACAGGAGTCTAAGGGGCAGCTACTGTCTTGTTCCATCCCCTGCAAATTAGAGCCTGGGCCCTTGATAGAGATTCTTCCAACTGAATGTTGATATCTGAGACTTTAAATCTTGAGCAAATGAGGCAAAGCAGCAAGGACAATTGAGAAACCAATCTCTGAATCCAGCTTGGCTGAGGTCCTATGCTTGCATTGCCTTGGTTCTTCCCATCTTCCAAGCTTAATTCCCCAGGTAAAACAGATTCCATGAGGTACTTAAACCTCTCCAATAAACTCTCTTTCTGCTTCTGTTAGCTAGAGTCCATTTCTACATGGACTCTTGTGCCATGTGTTCATGCGTATACACATACGCACACAACACAGAATATTCTAGCACCAACAGCAAGTGTTCTTTGCCAGGGCAATCCTTCCAAAACATAAATTGCTTGTAACCTTCTCCTGTTTCAAAAGATTCAATGGTTATCTCTTTCAGGACAAAACCCTCCCTTTTGAGCATGACATCCCAGAAGCCTTTTACCTTGCTTGTTTCCCCTCTCATCACTTCCCCTCTTCTATAGGCTGGACCCTTGGCTTACCATTTCTCCACACCGTCGTACCCACTGTGCACTTGGCCTCTTGTGCCTTTCCCTTTCTTGGCAAGTTCCTGCCTACCCTTCATGCTTTAGCTCAAGGGTGACCTCCACGAAACACAGTCTGGCAGTATTTCCTCTAACACCACGTGTATGTGTTTTATTGCCCGAATTACACTTTATTGCAATTGTTCACAAGTTTATCCTTCTTATTAGGTTACAAACTTCTTCAGGACAGTGTCTGTCTAGTCATCTATGTATCAAAGATCTAGGATACTTCTTGGCACACCGTAGATGCTCAATAGCTATCTGTTGACTGAATGAATGAATGAACATGACCTGACGTCTGTGAGGCTCTGATGATCAGCAGAAGAATCCTTCTAAAACAACTGCAATAAAGACTGTGCAGTATTCCAGCCCTGAGTTACCCAAAGGTGGTTTAGAAAACAAAGAGACACCAGCTATCTTGAAATAATTTTTAATGCTTTAAAATTTGACTAGCGCACACAATACATGTTTTAGCAGAAGAAGAATGAAAATGTGTGTATGGTGTTTAATAAAATTGACATTACAAAACAAGACCATGTTAAGAAAATTCTCAAAAGTAGAAGTAAACATTTCAGTAAAAACCAAGTAAACAACACGCTAAGGGATAGGATTTTAAAATCCTAATAAATGTAGTTGCCTAAATCCAGACTTTAGACATTGAGATTTACTTTGTCACTTAAAAAAAAAAAAAAAAGGCAGAATGCCCTTCATTTTAAATGCACTTTTAAAAAATGTTTGCACATTGTTTTCCTGCTGGCAACTCAGTATAATCAAGTATATAAGAATACCAGATGGATTCCAATCTGATAATAAAAAAGTGTATCACCTGGTCTTCTGGTTAAATATACAGTTCACCTCAGAAAGCAACAAAAAGTTATGCTACACATTACATTTCTATGTCACACCCTCCCTGCTGTCCAGGCCCCAAAGTGAACACAGTTGAAAACTACTTCAACGTAAGAGAAAATGAAAACAAAATCTACAGCACCTTTTGGTTTCTAAGCATAGGAAACAGGCAGAATGGAAATACAGGAAGAGGGAAACAATGGGTGAGACCAATGATGTGCTCTTCAGTAAAATTCCATTTATACACAGCTGCTCAAATGGACAGAGTGGCTGATTTATGTATTGGTCACATGAGGAAAAAAAACTGACTTTCAAAATTTCCTCGAATTCTGGCAGATCCCTCCAAAATGTAAAGACCGGAGATAATTTACTCACACAATCATTTCCTAGAACTTTATCAAATAATTAGGTAGCACCATAATGGTGAAGGTCGTGGTGAGGAAGAGAGGAAGAAAGGAGCATTATTTTTTACTTCCTACCCACTCTTCCCCATCAAATTACTAAGGTTCAATGAGTCCTCAGAAAACCAAACAATCAAAATGCACTTCATGCAAATAAAGCACTTTCCAGGCTGAGTCCGTCCAAAAGGTAGTGCTTCACTTAACATTTTGGAAGAAGTATGTAATTCCAGGACAGTATGCAGATTTCTCTAGAATCCTGACAACCAGTGCCAGCTTGGCAAAGTTTAATTAAATGCATAAGAGTGGCAAATGATGATGATACTTAGAAGAGCATCTTGGTCACAGCAGGTAAGAATTTAAACAGCGCAGAAGGCGTTTGCTAGCACATTATATGGTTAAAAATTCCAGAGTTCAACTGTTTCTTTTTCAGACATGAATTTCACTGAGAATGGGCATCTTGTTTTATCAATTTTTCTTCTTACAAGTAAAACAATTCAAACCACTCCTGCCTTATGTAAAAATATTAAAATCTTATATAAACCTTATCAGTGGCCTGAGAAATGCAGGGACATTCACGAAGAGATGTGTGCAAAAACTGTTTCCCTCAGAGAGCAGGATAAGTGAGAAGAATCCACCCTCTAGAATAAAATTTTAGAAGGGGTTTGTTTCTATTTTCACTAAATGAACAAGGGAGGTTTTATCTAAAATTTGTATGTAGCTTTAAAATGTATTTAATACATTGAAATTCTAAACAAATACTGACAATTGGTATCACAAAGTGTGATTTGGTATATTTGTAGAATATACTACGTATATATACTACGTAAGCTTCTATTACACATTAATAAAATTTAATTGTACATTTAAAATACGATTATCCCTTACTTCATATCATTTATTCAGAACATCAATCCCCTTGGTTATGTTCACAACTTTCAACCCTTTAAGAAGCTGTACCAAAGTTAAAAAAAATCATTAGATTTGATGTGAAATACAACTCCTTACAGGTTGAATGAATAAGCCAGATATATATGCTTAAGAAAACATTTACAAGTATTATATAGGTAATATAATTAATTACAAATTGCTTGCTGTTCATTAAAAACATCTCTTTTGGACTTGTAGATAGTGCACAAACAGGGTCATTACAACGTGCATGTCTTTGCAATGCTAATATTACTGAATTATACAGATTCGGGCTAACGCTGTGCCACAGACAGGACTGAGAACGTGCCGCATCTGAAATGCCATTGATGGAAACAGACTGGGTACCTAAGTGCTGGGCTTCCAATCTCTTATCCAATGTCAGTTCCTCTTTAGTTAGTAGATGATGAAGCTTCCGCCTTCCCCGTGGCTTCCTCACTAAAGAGCAGCTTTCGAAGTATATTTGCATAAAATGGTCCATACACTTGTTTGTTGAGATTCACAATGCTTGCATATTGCGAGCCTAGCACCTCTAGCTCCTGCTGAACGACAGTGAGGCCTCCTGGCACGGCAGGCATGCATTTTGGAGGGTTTGGCAGACAAAGTAGGCTTTTCATGTATAGCTGGATTCGTTTTTCTGGGGAAAAAGAAGGCATCTTTATCTGTCCCATTATTAAAGCATGTGATTTTGAAAAATGAGAACAGTAATTGTGGTATGTGGATTGCGGCAACATTCTCAGTTCTTGACCTCTCCCTATATTCGTGCCCTTTCCAAAGCAGCCTTGCAGCTCTTCCCATCAAAGACTGGAGTCTGTTTCCCCATGCCTTGGAGCAGGGATGGCCTTATGACTTGCTTTGGCCAATGCAGAATGTGGCAGAAGTGCTGGTATGTGAGTTCCGTGCTCAGGAGGCATTGTTTGAACCCACTCTCTCTGCCTACCACCACCATGTAAACAAGCCTGGGCCTGATGAGGGACCATGTTGAGGGAAGCCCAGTTGTTCCATCTTAGGCCATCCTAGACCAAGCTGTAGCCAACCAACTCCCAAGCACCTGAGAGAGCCCAGGCAAGATCAGCAGAGCTACCCACCCAAGCCACAGCTGACCACAAATGCACGCGTGCGTCCAGCAAGATCAAAAGAACTACCCAGTTGCCCCACAGACTCGTAAGCAATGACAGATGGAGTTTTGGGGTGATTTGTTATGCAGTAATAGCTAGCTAACAAAACATGCATAGCATTTTCAGGGTGGGGTGGGGAATCTTTTACAAAAACTCAACGTCCATAATTTTAATTATGTATCCTAAAGCTGAGTTTGTAAACTGGCACTGCCAGTTTGGTCCACGTAGTGTTTTTTAAAAATAGAAGTCATTTAAAACGAGGGGATTTCACATAGAAAATCAAAGTTTTGGTTCTTCTTGAAAAATCTACAGATCTGGCAAACTTAGGGGCCCAAACTGCCACATGGCAAGGGTGAGCACACATCCGAGTTTTCACAGGACAGTTGAAGTTGACACCTGCTGTCCTGGCATAATTAAAAAGAGCACTCTCAAAAGTGTCCTGGGGTGGAAAATAAATTATATGATCACCCCCCATGTGGGCAACAATCTGGAGTCACTAAGGAAGGGCCACCCCACTGGCACTGCCACCTTCTCCATTCTTCCTGCTTCAGTGCCTCAGCGTATCTGCATTTGAGACGACTTCACAAAAGCACGCAAATGCATAAATAAGTGAAGCTGCAGTGGTATTGGACAAATGGTACTGGACAAGCCTGAAATGCCCCAGCCCATGCTGCACCAAGGATGTTCTCTGGCTTTGGAAACAGAAATCTCACAAATAAGGAAGTTTACTAAGGAAAATACACTCCATCGAATACAGATAACTATATTGCTGAAACTTATCTCTAAACACTTCTCCCAAAAATCACACATTTCAGCCAGACCTGACCTAGAACTCAAAGTCCCCAGTGTCCCATGTCCATATCTTAGCCCAAATTGTTTCCTCTTACTAGAATGCCTTTCCACCTCACCTCATGTCTGCACAAGTCGAGAGCATACTTCAATGCTGATGCTAGAGTCACCTCCTTTCTGTGGCTTTTCCTAGCAACTGTTACACTATCATCCCATATTACTGTTACTTGAGAATTTATCTCTCCCTTCTTAGACGGTGGGCTTTCTAAGGGTCAGGGCTATTTTTTTGTCTTATAATATCCCTGGTCTGGCATGTGGCAGGCACGTCATAAATGCCGCTTGAATTAAAGTGAGATTGGAATGAAAAAGGTCTATAAAGATAAACCCCAAACTGAAAGCAATGGGAGCCAGAGAGGAATGGGGGCTGGAGAAGGCTGTCAAAGATGACTTGGGCCTTATCCATAATTTGTCAACAAGAGGAAATTATTCATGGATGTATCACTTGTATAATTGAAAATTACTTTTTAAAAATGTAGGTGGCTATTAGCATGCAAATAATTTACACAGCAGGTAATCCATAAATCATTTTTACATGGTTTTGGTATATATTTGGAAAAAAAATAGTTTGAAGGAAAACTCCCTCTCTAATTACCTTTTTTAATGGCTAAGAACACAGTGGGAGTTGTAATTCCATTGTAGACAAATAGCACATCAACTAAGAACAAAAGAAGGCAGACTGTGGGTACCATGAACTACAGGGGAGGAAAGGCAGGGGTAAATTGGAGCCCTTCTTCTGTCCCAGGGATCCCTCTAAGTGCTTAATGTATTCCAGCTCCTCTGCAGGCAGAGAATTAAGAGGAAACTGTCTGCTAAATTCCCCGTTAGGCTGGCTGGTCGACTCTCAGAAGCTGGGTCTATTTTCATCACAGATACGGTCCAAACACTTTTCACAAGGCTGTTTAAAGAATGAAACTTTTTCAAAACTGTTATTATGCTGACAAGTGGTTCTATCTCCTCTGTGGATGAGTCACAGTTTTTAGGCCAAGACTAAGGTGACAGAAGCGTCTGTCCATTTAGGAGCAGCCAAATGGAGCCCCTGCCAAAGACATGCCCTTGGCTTCCAGAGCCCAGGGAGGGACGCTCAAGTGAGTCATTCATGTTGCTAGGCAACAATACTTTGAATGAGGTTACAAAATACTTCCAGTTTGCAAAAGAACAGGAAACTTGGACTGGGGAGAGCTGGGTGGAAAAAAGTTGCTTGACTGGCTTTTAAGAGGCCACCTCGGGGTGGGGCATCTCCTGGACCCCAGCTTCCCTCTCCCTTGACATTGCAAGTACTTCCCTGATCTAAAGCAAGGGCATGGAGGACACCCAATGCTCTGGCCACGCTGCCAATGAGCAGCAGGGCTCCAGCTTTGACTGTAGTGCCCATTAGAGCAGTTAAGAATATGAGTCACTCTCCCCGCCCCACCCCACCCTCTCTCTCTCTTTTTCTCTCTTACACTTCTTCCTCTTCCTCTTCCTCTTTCTCTTTCTCTTTCTCTGCTATGTGAGGACACAAGAAAGCAACCATCTGCCAGCCAAGAAGAGAGCTCTCACCAAAGCCCAACCACGCTGGCACCTTGACCCCAGACTTCCAGCCTCTAGAACTGTAAGAAAATAAATTTCTTCTGTTTAAAAACAAACAAAACAAAAAAGAATATGAGTCAGAGGCTCAGGAAGAAGCCATACTCTGCACCCTGCTAGTTATGCGACCTCAGGTGAGAGTTACTTAACTGCTCTAAGTCTCCATGCATTCACCCATTCCACAGATATTTATTAAAGGTCGTCTCTGGGCCCAGCATGGTATGGGGAAATAGCAGTGAGCAAATATGCACCCCGTCCTCGTGAGGCCTGTGCACTAGTGGGGGGTCTCTTGGTACGTGGCAGACTGCAGACGGCCTGCCCCTCTTTCTCCAGGGAACACCGTCTCCCTGTTGTTGGCGTTCAGCTGGAGACTATGGGCCATGAGATGCATGTCAGCAGTGAAGGTTATGCAGGGAAGGGCTCAGGCACAGGCAGCTGCGGTTATGCCGTGTGTGTTACTGTTTTCACCCGTCACCCCTCAGCAGCCCACATGCTACACACCAGACGGCTCTTTTCTTGGGGGTGGGGTTGAAGCCTAGAGCTATTAAGTGGCCTGGGTGGCCTAGATCTCCAGCATCCCGTGTCCCCAGGGATAAGAATGAGAGAAACTATTTAAGAGCCTCAACTAAATAATAGCAAGTACTTGTATTCTTAGGGAAGTCAGTGCTGCACTTTGAAAACTTGCAGATTAGTCCTGGAATGTTAGTATATTCGAATGCCACACTCTTTCCTCTGTCTGGTCCATTCCTCACCCTCTGCAGTAGACACTCGCTTTGTGTCCCACATCACCCTCTTCCCTTCTTAAGGCCACAGCACCCTGATCTTGTTTGCGGGAAAACAATCGCTTCCCTAGTTTCAGACCAGGTGTTACAGGTAAAGCTGACTCACCAGGAATTGAACACGTCTCAAGTTTAAGTTTCTTCCCCTCTGGCCACCATGAATGAGTCAACAATGGGACATGACCACCGTCTGGAGTCAATGAGACTCAATTCTGGGGTCACCGTCTGAGCTAAGAGGGGAGGGAAACTGACTCCTTTTTTTTTTTTGGCTTGACTTAAACACAGAAAGATGTAGGCTGGAGCTGAAGTCATCTTGCTGTGTTGGGAAGAGACTCTCCATGGAGACAGCCAGCCCAGAGGAAGGCAGTGCTGAGGGACCAAAGTGGGGAAACCAGCACCCAGGACATAGTTTAAGCTCTGATTAAGCTGTACCAGCAGCCAATCCCACCCTGCTGTTTTCTGTTATATGAGCAAATACATTCCCTTTTTGCTTAAGCCACTTTAGAAGCTTAGGTTCTCTGTCACAAGTAATAGAAAAAGTCCTAACTGATACATTCTCCCCAACTCACCAATACAACTTGACCTTAAGATATTCATTTTCTTAGCAATCAAGTACAAAAAAAAGTCTACCCACTATGCCTCTCAGTTGCAGGGTCTTTTTAACTCTTTGTCTCTCTAAGCCTGACCAACATAGGGGCCTCAGCTCACACAGGTTTGCTTCCAGCAGAGCCCGTGTCTACTTTCTGTGAACATACTGCCAGCTGGTTTGGATTGCTCTATTGATCTAGGAATTTAACATTACTGGCAGCATGATGTTATTTTCTTCGTAGAAACCTATCGGCTGGGTAGTAAGGTAGAAGGCTCTGAAACATCCTCCCACTCTGCTACATATACACACAGAAGCAGCAATGAGTCCCAAACCTTTGAAAATATTAATGCTTTATTCATATTTTCAATATTTATTCACTCACCAAAATAAGCAGGTAATCTGTTTAAGACTAAAATTTGACTGACAGTTAACATTAGCCAAAACCAGCATGGTTAAGCAAATTGGAATTGAAGCAGAAACCAATAAAAACATGAAGACTCACCAATCAAGGACCAGATAGGATTGTCCTCCTCTTCAATGCTTGAGAATTGACCTACAAGGTTAGCTTGAACCTCAGCATCTAGAGCAGGTAAACCTCTCTCCATCAGGGTCTTGTTTACCTCGACACAAGTCTGAACACCGATAGAATTTAGGACTTCCTTCAAGTTAAAGGTCCTACAAAACATGAAACAAAAATCCCATCAGGGATAGTTTTTATTTAGCAGGATTTTTGTTGTTGTTGTTGTTTTAAAAGTATACCAACTTATTTCAAATGTCTACCAATTTTTCCCTATACAGACAATAATTACCTCTATTAGAATGAGCTTAGAAAATAGTAACTCCTCCCAACCATCCTTTATTTGTAGCAGATTTGTAAATGCTTAAAACCACTCAATTCTGTGGGTAACGTTTAAATAGGAAAGCACAGACAGAAAAATGTGAAAATAAGTCTGCAACCCCATCTTCAGGCAGGGATATCAGAAAGGGAAAGAGTAGGTTCTTTAAAAAGTAACCTATTTACTTCTTAAAATAAACCCTCTGGTCTGAGTGGATTCATTCATAGATTTTTTTTTTTAATGTGCTTGGAAAATGAGGTACGATCAATTCCTTTATCCACGCCTGAGCAGTAAATCTCTAACACCAATCAAACGCAAGAAATGAAGATATTCAGAAGCCAATACCATGAAGACAAGTTACCTAAAACTCTTGACCTATCATGATGGAAGGTAAGAAACTCCTTCGCATTGTTACTTTCAAGTAACTGATCAGTAATCCCAAATATATACAGTCCAGAAAACTGTAAAAAGTAGTTAGTGGTGGGTTATTTAACAGGTAAGGAAAAAGGTGTAATTAGAAACAGCATTTGTTGGATCCACACTATTGGGGAATGATGATGGAAAATTGCTGCTCACTAGTCAGAAAGGGTCTTTAAGACAACTTTGTGCAAAATGGGAATTAAAGGATAAGAGATGGGGGGATGGGGTGGGGGGAATTAGACAAAACAATAATATAATCAGATAGGCAAAACAACTATAAAGAAGATGACTTAACAACTAAGTAGTTATTAAAAGCTAACGTTTATCAAGCACTTACCATGTGCCAGACACCTGTCCTAAGTGCTTCACACAGTCATCTTAAGTTTCCATTAACCCTAAGGTAGGTACAATTATTCCCTTTTTACAAATGAGGAGGTGAGACTCAGAGTGATTCAGGATCTTATTCAATGGTACATAACAAGTCAGTAGCATAGCTAGGATTTAAACCCTGGTTTGCCTGACCCCAAAGCCTGTCCTCTTAGTAACCATTTTGCTGTGTGCTTTATATTAATACTTAAGCAGTACTGGGGGTTCACTAAAGGCTTAATAAATTAGAATTCCTGGAAAATAATGGTTACCCAGTGTGGGAAAATGCTAAAATAAGATCTATTGCAAAACCAGAGCCAGAGCAGGTTTCTTTTTATTACAGGTCTTGGGTCCTGGAACGTGAAATAAAAGAGCCTGGCAAGTTAGCACCAGGATCAGTAGAAAGGGCAGGGCCTTGACATACGCCAGGGTTCAGGCCTTGGCTTGTCCTTTTCTTGGTGTGCAACCCAAGGCAAATCATATTCTCTCTCTGAGCTTCAGGTCAAAATGAGAACTTTGGATGCTATAACCACTTGGGCTTCTTTGGGCTTTTAATATTCTAGGATTTTATCAAGTCATTTATGTGCTCTCTAAGTAATGGGCAGGAGGATGGGAGGTTGGGTGTATCTCCCTTCAAAGAGAGGAATAAAGTCCCTGAAAACACCTGAAAGGGGAACCAGCAAGAGGAGCTGACCCATATGAGACTCATGGAATCATCTGGCCATTGGCTAAGACTAGGAATTTTCTAACTTGGACAGGATTCCCAATAGGATGATCTAAATGCAAAATTGAAATGGGATTCTAGTATTCAATGAAGGTTTGATACTGGGAAATGAATTTGGCAAAAACAAAACTTACACTGGACTTGCAGAGCATCTCTGAAGGACAGAGATGTCACCACTGTGAAGATTTCACAGAGGCTAGGTCAGTGAAGCTGGTAAACATTTCATGGCAGAAAACCTATGGAGTTGGAACAACTGAATCGGAAAGCCTCTTTGATAGGGCGTTCTAAACACTGAGCATGGTGGATTTCTGCATTTTGTTGTTTTTTTCCACAACACTGTCAAAGAAGAGCTTTTGCACACACCCATCCTAAGCGGAAACACTATACTCACCCTGGCACTTGTTATGGAAAAGACCTCTCCTTTCCTATGATGGGACATCTAAGCCTTCAGTGATATTAAAGGAAATTCTAAAAGAAGAAGGTGTGAGCTAAGCTTCTCAAAAGCACAGTCCTGAATATCACATCCAGATGTCAAGGTTATTTACATTTTCTGAAACACATGCAGACCCTGAATACAAGGCAAAGCAGATAAAAATGCTTGGAACTTACTCTTTGTTCATGCCTTCAAGTAGAACAGCTGAAATCTTTTTTACCCTGATTGCAAGCTCAGGTAGGCCGTCTGTCATAGCACCCACCATGTTGTTGGTGATTAGGGACAGGCAGGCAATCATTTTCAGTTGATTCAGCTTTTCTGTCAGTTCCTGAAGACGTGCTCCATCTGTCATGAGTGTCTAGCATGTTTATTTAAAATGTAAAAATAGTAAGGGAAGCTCAATACCATGAACTTGTAAAATAAGCAATGTTACATCAAACTCCCATTTTTATCTGATTTCAGTAAAGTCATTAAATCACATGCAACACAGACCAGCTGATTCACAGTTTGAACTTAAGAATTAGAATACTGGAAAACTTGAGTGAAGGAAAAAAAAAAAATCACTCACCTCTGGTAATTCTTTTTTCTGATAATCCCACTGTAACAATTTCAAATAACTATTATTTAGCACCAATGTAGGGCTCAGGCTTGGCTTGGAGCTGTTTTTGGCCCCGGGAGTTAAAGCAGTCTCAGAAAGAGAAAGTAATTCTTCATGTACAGATTCTTTTATCCATTCTGTAGTTTGATCAAGAGCACCTGCAAGTACAAAGGCCACATATTTGTCCTACAGCTGATGGATTCCTTCATTTGTGCATTCTACATGACAGATGTCAGGTTAGGTGCTGGGCATGAATGACAAAACAGCCATGGCCCTCAAGGAGCTGAGCTTAGAGTCCAGATGGGCAGACAGACCTGTAAGCTCACAATTACAGCAGAATACAGTGAATACTAGAAGACACAGCAGGAGTGGAGGGAGGAGAGGCTGTCCAGGACAGGCTGTAAGAGGAACTCCATAAGTGACACTTCAGGATACAAGGCAAACAGAGGAAAAGAGCTGTCACGCCAGGATAGGAGAATAGCCCACACAAAGACCCGGAATAGTGAGAAAATATGGTAATTTGGATGCTACAAGCAAATCTGTACTGCTGGTCTATAAAGAACTAGGAGGGAGAGAGAGTGGCAGCAGACGGCATCAGATGGATAGACAGGCCAGCTCACACATGACCTTGAGTCTTGTGCAGAGAAGGTATTTAGATTAAAGGCATTGATGATTAATTAAACATTTTTGGGTTCCAGACCCCTCCTCGGAGTGTCTGAATAGAGCTATGCCTTTCCCAGCATGCTGGTGTGCACACTTTATTTTACTTCAGACCCAGTTCTAAGGTCTCCCCCTAGAAATAAACTGCTTTTTATACCACATTTCTTATAAAATTATGTATTTGGTAGAATTTATAAGGTGGAGATTGCTTAAAAATGCAGACTGAACACAGGTGCAGATTTTTTAAAAAGACCCAGAGAACAAAATAAATAGTCACCCTGGAAACAGGGGTAATTTATGAGCAGCTCAGTTTGCCACACTTAAGCAACACCACCTCCAGAATTTCACAACTTTGTTTCTCCTCAGTTGGCAAATGTTGTTCTTGGTTTTCCCAGTTCTGTTTATAAAGATATAAAAGACTTGCAGTCTTTTATTTAAAAGGTACCCAACAGACAGAAACAGTGGAAATCATCATGGATATAATTACAATATGGCGGTAATAAGCATTTATGCTGCAAGCTTAATCATTTACAGCTGACAGATTTAAAAGCCCATTTCTTTATCTCAAACAAAAGCAACAGTGTAGCAGAGGTTCTCAATCCTGGCTGATTGTAGAATCACCTGGGGAACTTTAAAAAGAAAGAAATGTGATCTTGGGCACTGGCTCTTGGAGATTTTGATTTGATCAGTCTGAGATGGGGCTCAGGCATCTGTGTTTAAACACCCTAGGTGATCCTAATATGTAGCCAGAATTGAGTACAACTGGTAAAGCAGAAAGAGCATGAGTTTAGGGGGAAACATGGGCTTTTCTCTAAGGGATCCGCTGAGATTTCACTCCCACAAGCTAGTACACCGACTGTTCTACGTGGCTCCAAAATCGAGGTCAACCCTATGAGGCACTGGCACCCCTTGGTTTTTCATATGGAAAAGAGCCTCTCCATTCATTTCTTCAATGACAACTGAGCACCTACTATACACCAGATACTATACCAAGTGCAGAGAATTCACAGATGAGTAAACACAGTCCCTATACTCAAAAACCTCCTTATCTACCAGGAGAGAGAAACAGAACAATAGGCAATGGTTTTACAGGTGCATTTACCTAAGAATTTCTCAGGGGCAGTGGAGGCCCAAGAGCACTTCCCCACCAATATATGCTCCTGTTTCCTGCCAGGAAGTCTTGGACTAACCCCGCCAAAACTATCTCTGGTTCTCTCAGTCCATATCCTGCCAGTCCTCAGTGGTCCAGCCTCTTCCTGTGGGAAGCCTTTCTTTTTTTTTTTTTTTTTTTTTTGCGGTACGCGGGCATATCACTGTTGTGGCCTCTCCCGTTGCGGAGCACAGGCTCCGGACGCGCAGGCTCGGTGGCCACGGCTCATGGGCCCAGCCGCTCCGCGGCATGTGGGATCCTCCCAGACCGGGGCAAGAACCCGTGTCCCCTGCACTGGCAGGCGGATTCTTAACCACTGCGCCACCAGGGAAGCCCTATCACTGCCTTCTTGAGGCGCATCTGCCTTTGGATTTTTGATCTGGCTGTCATTTCTCTTAAATAGCTGACCTGAAAAACAGCTTCTCTATTTACTAAAAAAAAGTTATTAAATAGTTCATGTGCCTTTAATATTACTAGTGATATGAAAATGAGACTCCTTGAGAGTCCAAGCCTATGACGTTTATTTTTTATATAGTTTTCCCTTGACTCAGCTCACAGCACAACCTGATAGGCGTGTGAGATATCTGGCCTTGTCTTGGCAGACCCCTTTGCGTTGGAAACTAATCAAACGTTTTTCCAGTGGTACTTGTCACTTGGTAGGTTCTCAAAAAACCTCTGCTCTCTATACCTGGCATGAGAGACCTGGTAGGTTTCCTATTTAATTCACCATCTCTGGAGGTAACCATGGGCTTAAGTACTGACTCAAATAGTCTCCTTTAGACTGACAAATTGATTTGGTCCTATATGCCTGAAGATATCTTTCCCTCAACTGTCATGCAGTAAAATGTTTACTAATACACACTGTGCATGCAAATCAAACTAGAAGACACAGGGTGTTTTAACTCTTTCAGAAAGCAGAGGAGGGAACACTTCCTAATTTATCTTATGAGGGCAGCTTTGCTCTGACACCAAAACCAAGCAATGGCATTATAAGAAAAGAAAATTACAGGGGGACATCTTTCATAAATACAGATGTAAAAATCCTTAAGGAAGCATTAGAAAGACAATAAGATAAAGATAATACACCGGGGCCAAGTGATTGGATAAACATCTCAGGATTGCAAGCTTGGTTTAACACTAGAAAAAAAATCAGTCACTCTAATTCGCCACATTAACATAATCAAGGAGAAGAAAAATATGACCAATTGAGTAAATGCAGAAAAAGCATGGGAACAAATTTAATATGTGACCTATTTAGATAAAAATTCTCAACAGGGCTTCCCTGGTGGCACAGTGGTTGAGAGTCCACCTGCCGATGCAGGGGACATGGGTTCATGCCCTGGTCCGGGAAGATCCCACATGCCGCGGAACGGCTGGGCCCATGAGCCATGGCCGCTGAGCCTGCGCGTCCGGAGCCTGTGCTCCGCAATGGGAGAGGCCACAACAGTGAGAGGCCCGCGTACCGCAAAAAAAAAAAAAAAAAAAATTCTCAACAATCTAGAAATAGAAGAAAACTTCCTTAACCCCAAAAAATGACATCTATGAGAAGCTGCGGCTAACATCATATTTAATGCTCAAACAATAAACATTCTTCTGCTAGAAAAGCAAGGATGCCCTTTCTCATGACTTCTATTCAACATCTGATTGGAGGTCCCAGTCAGTGCAATAAGATAATCCAAAGAAATAAAAGGCAACATGATTGTATATACTATAGAAAAACCTAAGGAATACTCCAAAAAGCTATTAGAATTAATATGTTAATTTAGCAAGGTCTCAGGATGCAAAGTCGATCCTCAAAAATCAATTATATTTCTATATGCTAGAAAACAAAAAGTTTTATAAAATAGCATTTATAACACCAGAAGAACATAAAATGAGATTAAATTTAACAAAATAGGAGCTTCCCTGGTGGCGCAGTGGTTAAGAATCTGCCTGCCAATGCAGGGGACACAGGTTCGATCCCCGGTCTGGGAAGATCCCACATGCCGTGGAACAACTAAGCCCATGTGCCACAACTACTGAGCCTGGGCTCTAGAGCCCGCGAGCCACAACTACTGAGCCCACATGCCCCAACTACTGAAGTCCGTGCACCTAGAGCCCGTGCTCTGCACGCAACAAGAAGCCACTGCAATCAGAAGCCTGTGCACCACAACGAAGAGTAGCCCCCACTCACTGCAACTATAGAAACCCCGCGCGCAGCAACGAAGATCCAATGCAGCCAAAAATAAATTAATTAAATAAATTTTAAAAAATTACAAGACCAGTACACCAAAACTAAAACAATATTGCTGAAATAAATTAAAGATTTAAGTAGAGATATTGAGTTCACATATCAGTAGACTCAACATTATTAAGATGTCAGTTCAACATAATTCCAATCACCATCCCAGCTGGCTTTTTTGCAGAACGAGATAAACTAATTAAAAAATGCATATGGAAATTCAAAGGACCTAAAATAGGCAAAACAATTTTGAAAAAGAATTAAGTTGGAAGCTAACACTATCTGACTTCAAGACTTAGCCTCAGTAACCAGGATAGTGTTGTATCAGCTAAGAGTAGAAATATAGATCAATGGAAAAGACTAGAGAGTCTAATAAAAAGGAATGAAGTACTGATATGTGCTACAACATGGGTAAATCTTTAAAACACAATACTAAGTGTAAGAAACCAGACACAAAAAGCTACATATTATATGATTCCATTTATATGAAATGTCCTGAACCGTCAAATCCATAGAGACAGAAAGTAGAACTGTGGTTGTCAAGGGCTAAGGGAAGGGAGGAATGAGGAGATACTGCTAATGAGTTTGGGGTTTATTCTGGAAGCATGAAAATCTTATGGAATTAAATACTGGTGATGGTTGCATAACCTTGTGAAAATACTAAAAAACACTGAATTATACACATTTAAAATTTAATTTTATGGTATGTAAATTATATCTCAATTTAAAAAAAGAATAAAGAGTTCAGAAATAGAATCACAAATGTATGGTCAATTGATTTTCAACAAAAATGCCAAAGCAATTCAAAGGAGAAAAGATAGTCTTTTTCAACAAATAGTTCTAGAATTGGATATATGAATGGAAAATTCTGAACCTTGAAATATACTGCCTTGAAATGATTCATAAGCCTAAAAGTCTGAAACTTCTAGAACATACAAAAAAAATTTTCATGACCTTAGGATATACAAAGATTTTGTAAACAATTCACTAAATACACAAACCATAGAAGAAAATTTTATTATTTGCACTTCATCAAAATAAAAAACTTCTTCTTTTCAAAGGATAGGGTTAAGAGAATGAAAAATGCAAGCCACAGATGGGAAGAAAGTTTCACAACACAAAAATAT